GGCTGGTCCCCTGCCCTGCAGCACCTCAGGCACAGCACCCTGTGCCCTCCGGGGCAGGGACAGTCCGTGGGATCCTCCTCCCAGAGGAGGTGGGGTGTAGCGGGTGCTGACACCTTTCCGTCCCAGCCCAGTGGGGTTTCGGCGCGGTCCAACTTGCTCTTGGGCACCGTCACTGGCCACAAGGGTCCAGCAGCTCCATTTTCTACAGGACAAGAGTAACAGCCCTTGTAAGTGTCCAGAGCCCTGTTACTGGAGACACTTAGTGCTGAGGCCGGGCTATGGGGCTAATACCTGGGGTGTGATGATGCTGCTCCCTGCACTGGGGATTGCAGCTGGGCACCTTTCTGCACATGAACACCACGGGCCAGCTCAAGTGCCACAGTGTGGGACTGTCCCACTGGCCACGCGGGGCTCACTGACCAGCCTGGTTATGGCATCTCTTCCCCACGCCCCTCGCGGTACCTGTTACTTCTGCCTTCCTGGCACAGGCTGCGGTGGCCAGAAGGGAATGTTGAACAGGACAGCAGCCCCCTCCCAAGCCCCCCCTTCAGCTCGGACCTGGCAGCACCCTCTGCCCAGGGACCTTCAGACACCATCTGGGTGCCCAGAGCTACCGTCACCCCGCACGCGAGAGGCGCAAGGAGCCGGACAAAAGGCACGTTTGGGACAACTTTACTTCTGCCACCAGAGAGCAGGCTTTCTTACAGGAACAGAAGACTTTTTTTTAAAAAAACAGTTCATTTGCTCTTGCTATTTTGTTTTTTCCATTTCGTTTTTAAAAAACCCCAGTTACTTCTGAAAGCCAGCACTTGGAATGATGCACGAGCCGCTGCGCTTCCTGGTTCCCTTGGGAGCACTCCTCGATGGCAGCTCTCCAGCGTGTCCCAGTGGGTCAGCGCCCTGAGGCTCCATCCCAGGGGAGGGGGGGGTCCCCACTGTCCACAGCTCCCAGATTCCGCGTGGTCCCCGCGCTCCTGGAGGAAGCAGCAGCCCGTGTCCCTGGCTGGGGTGAATCCTCGCGCTGTCCCAACACTGGTCCCTGCAGGGCCGCAGGTGCTGGCGGCACAGCGGGGTCAGCCCCACGGGGCCACTTCTAAAGTGACAGTGTTAAACTTTATAATTGGCTTCATTTGTTCATTTGCTCTTTGCCGCAGGAGCAGTTGTCAGATTGACTGAGGATTCTGTAGTTCTTTTTATTGAACAGATTTTTGCTCAAGTAAAAGAGGGACCCGACCAACCTGTGCAGTGAACGGGGCAGCTTTGCCATGCAGAGTGGAGGAGATACTGGTTTTATTGTTATCATGATTATTGTTGTTATTATAACTTAGGACCACAGACAGCCTCTCTCTGAAGCAGTCAGCTGCTAACAGCAATATATGGTTGGATTCTGTTTTAAAAGGTCATAAATTAGCAACTTATACTTTATCTTTTAAAAAATTGAATAAATAAATAATTTAAAAAGAAAGAGAAAAGGAGAGAAAGAGTCACAACATGCAGGAGCTTACAACGAAACAGGTGGAAATGACCAAAGCAAGAGACAAGAAATGCAGAAGAAAAGCCCAGGTTTGGTTTGGTTTGCAGTCAATGCAGTTTGGAAGCATCATTTATAAAGGTATTTATATACCAAAAAAGGCACCACAGTATCTACAGAGCCAAATCCTCAGGAGCGTTGCCGTGGGGCGGGGGGAGGCCGCAGCACATCCCCTCTCTGAGCCTGTCCATTGCTAAGCTGAACTTCCCGCTGTACGTTTGGTGTTGCTGTCTCTGTTGGGACAAACATGAAATAATAACGACAAAGAGACAAAGGTGAAAACTGGCTGAAGGCTCCGGGCCGGGCTGCAGCGCAGCCGTGGGGTGTTCTGGGATCAGGTGAAAGCAGTCGGAGCGGGAGGGCTGTAACTGCCCAAGGGGACACACCACATGTCCCCCTCCCCTCCTCATCCCAGGCCACTGCGCCCACCCATCGCAGAGGGCTGCGGCCATCCCCATGGGACATGAGCCCGGTGCTCCCCCGGCCACCCCACGCTACATCTTGGCTCTCTGTGTGTGAATGGAGAAGCCCCGTGTGTGCTGGGGAGCCCCCGTGGCCCTGGGGTGCAGGACCACTCTCCTCTGCATGACCAGTACCTGCAGAGCAGCAACTGAACACAGAACAGGAAGGAAAAGGGAAAAAAACAGGAAAGAAAGAAAAGAAACGTTTGAAATCTTGTGTTTACTAGTGTTCATACATGAGATTCCTAAAGAACAACTTGTCCTCCTAGTTAACCTTGTCCTGGAATATATACAGGTTATTAGTGGCTGCCACGGCGATGATGTTCTCGGCGGGGTGCCAGGCTGTGTGCAGGATCTTTTTGCTGAAGTCCAGACTGTCCACGCTGATCTCATCCTTCCTGCGCTTGCCGCCAACACAGACCTTGCGGGGCTTGAGGATGGCGCGGGGTTTGCTGTTCTCCCGCGACGCCTCCAGCGTCACGTCGCGCTTGGTGTTGCGGTCGAACATGCGGAAGAAGTTGTTGTAGGAGCCGGTCATGATGACGCTGTGAGGACGGGGGGAGGTTGGGTCACTGTGTGCACCCGGCCCAGCCAGCACCCGGCTGCAGCAGAAGGTTCAGCTCCAACAGTGGAGCCGCACCCCCACGTCTTTCTTTACTCCTTAACCCAGGGAATGTGCACGGGTGAGGCACCTCCTCCCGGGACAACAACGCGTACAGAGCTCACTCCTTATGGCAGAGATTTAGCTGACCTGAACCAAATCATTTTCGCACCTTTTTAGAGGGAAACTGCCTCGTGATTAGAGGCAGACTAAATATCCAGAGGCATAATGAAGTTCGGAAATCGGACTCCAGGCCCAGTTGTGCCTCCTTAACTCGCTCCAATGGTTAAGAACAAAATACATCAATCCTGCCAGGCCAAGCGGTTTTGCATGTTTCTTGCACTGGTTTGGTGTGATTCACGTGTGGATAGTCATCACCCCTCAGTTTGGCAATCTGGAGCTGAACGCATCACCACCCTCCAGTATGTGATGGTGAAATGGAGACGGGAACTGAACCCACCCAGGAGAGAGCCAGGACCCCATCAGACACCCCCAGAGCGCTTGGGTGCGGGGCTGCGGGTTGAGGGGATCCTGTTGTACCCACAGGAAAGCTCCCCAGACCCAGCCGGAGGTCAGGGCAGGGTGCGGGGGAACCCGCAGGCAGCCCAAAACGTGGGGGGCGGGGGGCGGCGGGGGCCGCTCACACTGACCTGTCGGAGCCGTTCCAGACGCACTCGAACTTGTCGAAGATGCAGTCGTTCTCGTAGAGTGAGCACAGCTTGCTCCGCAGGTAGTCGTGAACCTGCCGGGGGACGCGGCGTGAGGACCCCACATGCCCCTGAGCGTGGCCACCCTCCTGCTGCAGCACCAGCCCTGCTCCACGAGTGGCTTTGGTAGCACCAGGACATGTCACCATGCAGAGGGTGGCAGGGACCAATGCTTTACCCCAACACCTGCGAGCGCCTGAGCTCCCCCTCCTCACCCTCACCCCCGGGGATGTGGGTTTCACTTCACCCAGCCACATGAGCCCACATTTAACAGTTCTTCATTCACTTTCTGTGATTTCATGGCACGATGCTCCCACCCATCAGGAGCACGGCGCGGGCAGGAGCATGGTGGGTGCCCAGCACTCCACACTCACCTGGTAGGTCTCGATGGGCCGGTTCTCCATGTTGAGGTCCCACACCTTGACGGTGAGATAGTCCCGGGTCATGATATACCTCCCGCTGTGGCTGAACTTGACATCGGAGATTGAGGAGATGATCTCGGAAAAGAACGACCGGTTACTTGGGTCCTCGGGCTCTTCGAAAACTGCCAAAGAGGAAAAGACAGCGCCAGCATCAACCAGGGGAGGAGCTACTGTCCCCAGCCCAGGGACCTGCTGCCTGTGCCAGCCCGAGCAGAGGCACCCACAGCAGCGGGGGGCAACGCTCCCACTTCTGGGTCTGGTCTAGACTAATATGGACAAACACCTGCATTTTAAGGGCTTGGCGCAAGTGATGCTCCTTTGTTTTAATGCGTGCAATAAGCGAGAGGGATCATCAGAGACCAATCTATCAACAGCACCACAGAAGCCCAGAAGATTTAGAGCCTTGCACATCACTGCTGCTCTCTAGAAATCAATGTGCAGCGTAACTGAAAGTCAATATAAATATTTTATAGCCCCTGCAACCCACAGATTTAATTTGATCAGTCTTTGAGTAAATCAGTTTGAACAGTTTGAGGGAGACGGATGAAGTTCCAAATCAAATGTATTTATAAATTTGATTTCAGACTAACATCAGCTGCACAAGGATCGTTTTAGAAAGCCATCGCAGAGATGCATCAAGAGACATGCTGTGATGCGGCGACATCTGTCCAGCTCCTCTTCCACCTCCACAGCTCCCCAGTGCAGCACTGCAGGATGCTCGCACCACTTCGCTTCTCCACTGGAGACAAATCGCGCTGCCAGCCCCATGTGTCCGACCCTCATCCCCTGTGACTGCTGGGCCTGATCTACCATGTCCAGAGCAGGGCCTGTGGCTCCGCAGGCAGCGTGTCCTGCACAGCACACCCAGCACCGGCGTTTGCTGGGGTTGAGCATCCCCTCACTGAGCCCTGTGGTACCCAACACCTGAACCTCTGCGTACGGCAGAAAACATGCCTGAAGTGCCAGTAGAAATGATCTCTACAAATCAGGAATGGCATCGCCCACAGCAGGACCCAGCTCTGGGGCCTTTAATCCCCAGCAGGAAATCTGATGACATGTCAGGTCTTTTAAATAAGAAAAGCGACAGCAACAAGAGAAAATAAAGATCTGAGGCAGTCTGTGGAGAGCGTGTGAACGCCAGGATGTGTCTTTGCTGTAACCATCAGGGTTTGCTCACACCAGGTCGGCTGGATTTGTGAGGCTTGTTCTAATGGCTGCACTGTTTCCACCACGGATGTACATACGAGCTTATGTCAAGGCAGGAGGTGTTCAGGTTATAGTGCAGGGGCAAGAGGAAGTTGTTAGGGAAGTAGAATTTTCCCTGCACCCATGTCCTTGACTGCTGTTCTGGGGCTCTGATACTGCAAGGCAACACCCCCAAATACAAGGGGGACATTTGTCTTAGAGATATATCTGCAACATGGGCGAGTAAAACCTGTGAGCTGCTGGCTACGTTATCAAAGCAGCTTTGTGTGCTTCTGACCAAAGCTGAACCTCTTTTCAGCAAAGGATAAATGTTTGGTAGAGTTGCTGTAACACAGTCAGCAGTGAGAAGACAGAAAGGAAACGTCCCCCTTTGGGAAACGTGAGCCTTTGGTTTGGTACAATCACTCTTTAAAGCTCCTTAAAGAAAAAGGGGAAAGCCTTTTGCTACGGGGAAATAACCACAGTAACCCCATCAGGGCTCCTCCTCACTTTTCCATACGCTTTTCAAACAGGGTCACTTCTCCCCCATTACCAGCTGCTCCAGGAATCCCGACGTGCCCTTTGGCTTCCCGCGGTGCTTTGGCCAAGGCATGTGTTTCCGTGGGCACGTGGAAGCTGATGCGCTCCCCGAGGCCAGCTCTGCGGCTGGGGGTAACTCACAGCATCACACGTCGCAGGAGCCTCCAATGAAATGGGCAAACAAAATTTAACACGAGAAGCACGTAAGTACGAGCTGTGCCCAAGCAATGAGCTGCATCCATGGGAATAAACACGGCTGGGGCGTGTGGAGACGTCTTCTGCATTTTTATTAAATATTGACAGTTATTAAACGTCTCCATCGGAGGATTCGCCTCCAAAAGCCAGCGTTGCTTTTCACGTTGAACTTTGATGAACTGTCTCAATTTCCACTCACACATCCACGACACTGCAATTGACTGGGGCTGGTGATTCGGAGGGATGGAGGGAAATCAATACGGAGATGTCACAGGAGAGGTCAAAGCGAGCAGGATGCGCCGCTGGCCACCGCGCACTGGATGCAGCAGCACCAGACAAAGGGAAGTGCTGGGGGGGCTCTGCCACCAGAGTGTCAGGAAAATGGATTCTGCTTGCTCTGTGAGCATGTTCTGATCCTCAGCTGGGAGCTGTCACTGCCGGGCTGGGAGACACAGCCGGGAAACGCAGGAACAGAAACAGTGCTTTGCCCAGGGTTTGGGAAAGCTGCCACTGGCATTTCCAATCTCCAGCCAGCCAAACCTCTCCCGCCAGCGATGCTGCCTCTCCACCCGCGTCACCCCAGGTTAAAACAGGTCTCAGACCGCGACCGCAGCTCAGAAGCCCAGGAGCAATAGCTGCTGTGTAATTCCCTATCACCTGTAGGAAACCCGCATCTGAGGCACACCCTGAGGCTCTCCGGGGGTAGGTTATGACCGTGGGGCTCCACGAAGTTGCACCCAATTTGTGCATCTTGTTCTCCTCACATGATCACACTTTGAGTACTGAAAATCTCCTTCATTTCCCACAGGATATTGGTCATTTTCTGATGAAAACCCAAACTAGAACAGGAAACACAGGGCTTTAGCTGTGCAGTCACACAGCACAGCAGCGCTTGTTCCTGCCACGTTTCGCTGGTTTTAAGGCAGACACCAAACTCCTTCAGGGTCTTACTGACAACACTGCGCTCAGCACAGGAACTGCCATGGCCCAGAGAACAGCAACAGGTATTCACCAGCTCACCCATAACTGCTGTGGGTGTTTGCGCCAGTATTTTACTGAGCAGTTTCTGACAGGAAGGGTATTTCCAGCACTAACCTCTGGACAGGTAGAGGCTGAGCAGGAACCAAGCTCCTCGGCAGCAGCTCACTCATCACATCAGTCTGGGAGGACCAAGGACCAACTGCCCCCCTGCCCAGCTCACCCCAAATGTTGAGGGGGCTTATCTGCACATCCTGACCCCTGTGGCATCAACCACAGTTGACAACAGGACATGCAGCTGTTTGGTCAAACGGCCTGAAGCAGCACAGCACTCCCTGGCATCGACAGCTCCACAGCTGCTGTGCACCAGCACCCAGTGACCCTTTGGATCTGCTGTTGAGACATCACCGTGGGGTGTCCGACATACTTCCTCAAAGGGTGTGGGGCTGGCACCCAGGGGAAGCTGCTCCTTCTGGGGCCGGGCAGGACTGAGGGCTGGTGCCCATGGGAATGCCCCTGGGCAGGCAGGACCACAGGCCGGCACATCCCAAAAGGTTGAGGCGGCGGGGCAGACCTGAGCCCGGCGCGTCTCCGTGCTCCCCTTTTCTGGACGCAAAGGGGACCCCATCCCGTGCCGGGGCTGCACTCACACTTGGCGTGGCGGTCGCAGAGCGCGGAGGTGCGCATGTCACACAGCCGGATGGTGCCTTTGCTGCTGCTGTAGACGAAGG